GTGTGAATGATTTTGTTTCTTGTTCACACCAAACTACTGCAGAAAACTTTGACTAAATAAGGAAAAAAAGTGATTGGCTTTAAGGAGGGAGGAGACGCAGGACACTGAGTTTATTGAGGAAAACCTGCAACTGACCAGGTTAGCTCTAGGGAGTATGTTACCACAGAAACGGGTTGAGTAAACTGTCTACATGAAATGAAAAACTCAGTTTCCGTATTTTTAGGTTTAAAGGTTTTGTTTTTTTTGTGAAACCAAATTCTTGGTAACTGCAAAAGTCATAAAGACATTCCCCTTTCAGCCAGAAAACATAGTAGTACAGCTTAAAAAAATAGAACCTCTTCAGTATTTTTCCTCCAAGAGGAGGAAACTCTTGGATTTACTACACATTGAAAAATGTATAGCATTTTTGTTTTGTCATTTCATGAAGGTTTATATCATAAAAAAACCAACATCCGGTATTCTGAAGCACCCCCCCAGCCAGGTGTGGCCCTTTACCTGTGGCCATCTGGTCTCTGTACAAGAAGAGCAGAAGTTGCCAGCATTAAGTCGGACCTGTTCCTGGTGCATGTTGGACTCTGACAGAGCTCATTACCTTTATAGACAGGATTTATAGGCGCAGTCAGAGTCTGGTTCAGGGTCCAGCAGATTTCGTCACTGCTTTCTTCTCCTGATAACAAGCGGCTGAAATTAGCTTTTTCTCCTCAGGATGTCTGGGCAATCCCTTAGAGGGTGAGGAGCTCAGTAGAGCCGCTTCTCGTCCACATATAGAAGAGTCAGCTGAGGTGACTCGGGCATCTTTATTGGATGGCCCCCCCGATCCAGGCATGTAACCCTGGGAGGAAGCCTAGGGGACAACCCAGAATACGATTGATGGAGCGACTATGTCTCTGGGCTCACCTGGAAGAGGAAAGTTTGGGTGTCTCTGATAAGACTGCTGGTGGCGGATAAACTGTAAGACTACAATTACATTAAGTATCTCACAAAATGAAAGCATACACATGCAAAAAGTAGTGGATGAAAAACATGTGGTAGAAAAAAGTGAATTAGTATATAGGACTTAAAAGGACCGTTAACGTCCATTTAATAATATTTGAGCTTGAAGCACTGCATCAAGAGAAACCACAAACTGACAAATCTTATGCATTGCCTGCAAATGTTAGTCTTTAGGTTCTAGTCTATCCTGAACCACAGGCAGCATAAGAAGCTTTCTTTGAGGGCTAAAGGGAAAAGAAATGGCCTGCTGGTCCAAAGACTATTACATTCCAGCAAATCCCAAGGTGATTGGCTGGGGTGATTTTGGGTTTTCATCAAATATCTTAATCAGCAGAGTTACATGAAAGTAAAGCAACCGGACTTCCGCTCAGTTTTTGAAGATGTTTCGACACCTATCCAGGTCTTTGTCAATTTTGTTAATTCGCACCATTGCAAACTCTAATTGGAGCGCTGATGTATTTAAGTATCATGGAGGAACAACCTCCTGCACACATTCCAGATGCTAATTAATAGCCACCGTTTGTTCTACTGTATTGTTGGAGCCCTTTGTTGTTAATGGTCTCTGTGATTGGTCTTTTGAATCCTCATGGGAGTATTTATGTAAGGCTACATTCACACTGCAGGCCTTAATGCTCAATTCAGATTTTTGTGTGAAATTAGATTTTTGTTTGCATTGCAGTTCACATTTCCAAATATATGCGAATTGTATGTGATCTCATGGTTGCTCTGTGTTGCAGTGGGTAGCACTGCTGACTTGCAGCAAGAAGGTTCCGGGTTTGATTCCCAGCCCACAGTCTTTCTGCATTGAGTTTGCATGTTCTCCCTGATTATGTGTAGGTTCTGTCCGACTTCCTCCCACAGTCCAAAAACATGACTGTTAGGTTAATTAGTTTAGCTAAACTCGCTTTAGGTGTTAATGGTTGTTCTGTTTGCCCTGTCCAGGGTGTACCCTGCCTCTCACCTGTAGACAGCTGGAGATGAGCACCAGCACTCCTTGCGACTCCGCTTGGGATAAGCGTAATGGAAAATGGATGGATGTACATGATCTCCTGTGTGAACTGCATTCATACAACATAAGTGTCCCACAGAGGACGCAATGACGTCACAAGCATACATGCTCTGTGTCTACGGAAGTAAACTCGGATGGTAGTGCTGAAGCGCATCTAGCGATGTTGCCTAACCATAAAAACACAATCTTTTCAAGATGGTTAAACATAAACACTACTCCGCATAATCGTCTACCATGGTTGTTTTTCTTGACGCTTCTGTGTAGCAAGACGCAGAATAGTGACCTATGTTGGGCCAGGTCGCATTCATCCGACCTATGTCGTTTAGGTCGGATGAATGCGACCTGGCCGTTCAGACACAGGTTGCATTTGAAAAGATCAGATTCGTATCGGATACAGGACCAGCCACGTGGCCTGGGTCGGATTGGAAAAAATCTGATCTGTGTTGTTCAGACTGTCATTAAAAGATCAGATACAGGTCCTATATGGGCAAAAAAATCAGATTGGGGTCACTTCAGGCTGCTGTGTGAACACAGCCTTTCTTCTTTGGAATGAGCTCCATGACTGAATTGTAAATGCTTGGAAGCTGAAACCACAATCCTCCCCTTCTGTTCATTGATGGATTTTCTCTTTTCACAAACATGGCGTCCTCAATGACTCTTTCAAACCATCTGTTCTCCCTGTCCAAACTCACACTGGTCTTCAAAGGCGTGTCCTTAGTTTTCAAGGTGCAAGCGTACAGCTGAATCTTGCCTAGAGCTGTTGTTTGGTTTCTCTGGTATAGGAGACTGTACAGTCCTCACTGCACTGGATCACATGCACAATGCCACTCAGCTTAGGTTTGGGTGTTCTGTCTTTAGGACGAACCAGTTTTTATCTGAGTGTGTTGTTAGGTGTGTAATTAATTGGTATGGTGTGTTAGAAGAAAATCCTCCAGAGTATCTCAGAAATACCTGACACATGTGGAATTACGTTTTTGCTACTCTGTTTTGTCCTACAGTATGTGTTTCCAGTAGGGTTTTTGTTCCTGCTGGTTGTTTTGGTGCTCTTAACAAACATCCAGTTTGGATAACCAAATGCTTCAAGTTATTTCTTAACATGTTTTTGTTCCTTTCGTTTCCCCTGTAATTGAGGGAATATTGTCGACCCGGTAACTCAAGAGCTCCGATCACAGAAAGTTTATGTTGCAGCAGGTGATGTGTGTCAAAAATGAAGCTATTGGTCTGTGTAGGTTTTATGGGAAACCTAAGTGTTAAGCCTTCCATTGTCCTCAATGTGCACAGCACAGTCCAGAAAGGGCAATATGTTGTTTTTGCTATTCTCTTTAGTGAACTTGATGTTTCTATCCACTGACTTGATGTGATTGGTGAATGTCATAACTTCCTGGGTTTGGACTTTGACCCAGGTGTGATCCACCTATCTGAACCACTTAGATGGTTCAGATATATAAGCACTCCAACTAGTGTGCTCTGATGCGAGCCAACAGAATCGACAAAGACTCCTGGATAGGTGTTGAAACGTCTTCAAGAAGGTTGCCTTCCAATATAAGCCTATTTGTGGTTGCCATGACCCGGATGACTAGGAATTTATACAGACATAATGCTTGAAATATTCTGCTCCAATAAATCTAAAGAGGAAGTTATATTTTCTGAAATTAGTGAACATATCTATATACTCTCTCTCTCTCTCTCTCTCATATATACTCTCTCTCTCTCTCTCTCTATATATATATATATATATATATACTTTTTTTTTTTTTTTTAGCTTAATCCGTACAACAAAAATTAGTTGAAGTAACGGGGCAATTAGAGATTAAATATTCGTCTGAGGAATTCTGCAAAGGAAAATGCAAAGTTGGTAGTCATACAACAAAAGGTTGTAAACACTTTTGACTGAGCAACCTGAATACAAATGCACTGCATAAATTTTCAAATTTATTTGTGAAGATAAAAAGAATTATCTATCATACCCTGTGTTGGTTTGACAGATAAAGCCCCAACCATACAGCTGTGAAAAATTGTTTAAAAAGATCCTGCATTCTCATGCTATGACAAAATAAAGGGAAAGAGTAAGGTAGAGTAATGTAAGGTTTTATATTATTAAAATACCATAATTATTTTTATTAAGTAATTTTTCATTCAACACACAAATTAATCAATTAATACATTTCTTGACGTATAAATAGCTGTGATCAGGTAAACTAAAAAAATTGAACCCTGAGAAGACGGAAGATTTCAAAGTTATTCATCTTTAAGTGCAATTAATTTCTCTGTACCTTTTGTCTTTGGTCAAATGCTGTTACTGATTATTAAAATGTCTTCCCTGATCTCATGTCACATGAAAACTGACTTATTTATCTTATCCAAATGCTTAGCAGTAATTTGTATTTAATGAGTAATAATGCTCTTCAATTTTTCCCGCTGGACATCCTCTCCTGATTTCTCACATATCGTTCCTCCATTCAGGTTCCAGTTGTTGTTGAACAACACTCTCAGCAGTGTCAACTGGAATAGAGAGAAAATAATGCATTATCCCTGTTTAAAAATACATGAATATTGAAGAGGGTAGATTAAATGTGTTTTACTCTGAGCTTCAGCGCTGATGTAGAGTTCAGACAATTTTTTTGTGGCACTTTCTATTGCCTTCTTATCTTCCTCAGTATAGGTCAAGCCCTCAGAGCCTTCTTCATCTTTGCAGTACTTGATAAAGCTTAAAAAAAGAGAGTAAAAAAAGAAAGGAATATCTTTTCTGTGGAAGCTCTGATTTCACTACTACTATATAGAAATCTGCAACCATTTGCATATAAAATATTACCGGGCCCAGGTAGAATCTGCATTCAATANTATTATATTGAAGTCTGCAACCGTTTGCATATGAAATATTACCGGGCCCAGGTAGAATCTGCATTCAATACCAGGGGGTTTCCCACCACGATCAGCAGAGCTTTGGCTCGAGTCACAGCCACGTTGAATCTCTGAAGAAACAAAGACAGTTAGGATTATCTCGAATATTCAACGTCTTCGTGTGTGGCTGTTTTATTAACCTTCTCATTCTTGACAAAGCCCAGGCTGAAGTTTTTGTCAATATCAAAGTATCTGGGACTGCTTCTAACTGTGGACACCAGGATTACTCTCCTCTCTTGTCCTTGAAACTCCTCGACTGAACCGACCTGCCACATACATAAACACAAGTACAGTTATGTTACTTCACCAACCAGATCAATAACTGGTATTTATTAGGGCTGCAACAACGAATCGATAAAATCAATAAAAATCGACTTTTAAAAGCGTCGGCAACGAATTTCATCATCGATTAGTTGTGTCACGCGATTAATGATCATCCGGCGCCGTCGTCATCACTGCCACTCGACTGAAACGGGGGAAGAAAAAAAAATACGGCAGAGCGAGCACGCGCCGCAGGTGCAGTGTTGCCAACTCAGCGACTTTTTCGCTATATTTAGCAACTTTTCAGACCCCTCAGGCGACTATTTTTCAAAAAAGCGACAAGTGACAAATCTGGCGACTTTTTACTGTGCTTTTGGAGACTCTTACGTGAAAGCATGTATCGTTCCTACTCTTGTCCTCCAGCGGCAGCTGCTGCCGTGGGGCGCCTCCCCCATCCCAACCC